TTCACACACGGTCCAATGAACAAGGAAGAAGAGGTCGCCACATCACCAGAAGCTCGTTTCCATGTCGGGAAATCTCAAAACTTTCCCGAGAATATTCCGTTGTTTCTTCAAAGGCATTCTGGAGATCCTGCTGTAAAAGTACGTGATATATCATCGTTAAAAGAGTTTGAATGCAGCATCGTGCTGATTTTCAGTGACAGGATTTTTCACCCAATCTTCAGCGTTTTCTCCTTCACAAAATCAAGGAAATCTTAATCAGGGAAAATGATCTTCTACACACCACCGCCGTCCCAGGAGCTACACCGGCATTCTCAGACTCAAGCGGCCGTGTTTTCATTAAGGCTGATCGCATGTACCGACACAACTTGATGCGTTTCAACTACACGACATACGATGTCCACCGAGCGCAGGACGTCATAAATCCGTCGACATCTCATTGTGATATTATGCTCCTGGGCCAGGCTAGCGGCCTGACCGATTCTGATGATTCAGCTGCCAGAGAACAACATCCGTATCTTTATGCTCGCGTGCTTGGGATTTATCACGCCAATGTCACTTATGTTGGTCCTGGAATGGTTGATTATCACTCGCACCGAATCGACTTCCTGTGGGTACGCTGGTATCAATACGTGGATGGACATACCATGTCTTTAGATCGTGTTTGTTTTCCCCCTATGGCAGAACCAGACGCCTTTGGGTTCGTTGACCCCAATGATGTCCTTAGGGGATGTCATATCATTCCGCATTTTGCTCAGGGCCTGCGGCATCTGGACGGCATGGGCATTTCCCATTGCGCTAAAGATGAGTTAGATTGGCGGTTCTATTATATCAATCGGTGCGTCCATGAGCTCTATTAACAGAGCTCCCCTGACATAACAGTTTAGTTTTGTAGACCGCGACATGTTCATGCGGTATCATTGGGGGTTAGGCGTCGGGCACACCTACTCTCATAGTGGTCACAAAGCTGCCGACACAAATGCAGATGTGGGAGATTCTGAAGACGAAGAAGACGAAGAAGAATATTGTGATCAAGATCCCGGTATGTCTAATTCAGATTCGGGATCTGATTCAGATGAAAGCTGTGACGACTGTGATGTTGATGAGTACGATACCCTTGACTACGAAAACTAGATCTACGGTTAGTAAAGCTCTTTGACACGGCCTACATGGTACTAGTGACACTAGCCTATGATCAACCACGAACACTATCACAGAAAGTATCAACTAGTGCTATCCTGGGTGTCTCGTATTCACAAATATATGTAAATATATTCACGGCGGACTGACGCTCAATCCATGCGACTTGGAAGCGCCTGTACTAGTTATCCATCCCTACTTGAAAACCCTGACTGCCAACGATGGCAAAGTTTGAACTCAGACAATCATATGGCTGACTCTTGTTCGCTCGCTCTACTCGCAACCGCGGACTCGGAATACTCTCTCGTACGTCTTCATACTATCTCGAGTCATCAAATTGAAACAGCAGAATTCGTACGGAAGTAGTGTTGCCCAACTTCGTTTGTGCCGAATAGAGCGGAGCCTCGCTTGAAAGGAGAGCTCTCGGATAGTAGGTTATGCTGACTACTTGAATTCCCGAAATAGATTTGAGCTTGTCACTGAACTTCGCGTAAAGGTGAACTTTCCTAGGTCGTCATTTTCCTGGCAACATCTAACTGCTCACTGTCAGTCAAACTGCACCAAACAGTGTAGCCGAAGGGTACTATTTGAGTCGCAATCATGCTCCTTCCTCGCCCCAATTACTTCCACCTGCCATGTCTGAGGCGCAGGAATCTCAGTGCAGTCAACGTCGTAAATCAGTCGATGCCCTTCAACTGGGTCCCAGGAAAAGACCGTGGGTATCTCTATCTGCAGAAATTAATTGCCACTGATGATCACAATCTTATTACAGGAGCGCAACTGACCCGTTGGTACACTATGGCCGTCATTTTGGGCGAACAATCCACGCTCTCTGCAACTTTCAAGCCCTTCTTACGAATGGAATTTTACGGATGGGAGAATTGGCCGAGATTCCAGAGGAAAACTTTACCGCAGAGTACGTCACTTTTCTGCAGAGTTGTACGCATCAAATTCAACCTTTTAAGGGAACGGCGCGAGCATCGTATCTTTCAAGAGCTCCTCAAATCTGTGGCAGGGCTGGAAGAACGCCTGATGCAAGGCGGAGATGATGAAGTTGACGCTGTCGCTGAGTTGGCAAGTATCTCGGTTTTCTACGTCTTCAACTTAGCCTCTCATTTTACATATCATAAGTTCACCAAAGGTGCATCTGGCGCAAGGGGTGACGATACTAAGAGCCTCAAAGGCAGCGTCCTCGACTGGATTACTCCTAAGGGGCAGAGTCTTGTTCCTCCTCTTGCTCGCAACGTGAAAATCGATCGTGGTTTCCATCACGAACGGACAGGTGCCTTGCTTTGTCCAGCTGGCCTCGACTGGTCTAATGCAGAGTGGGTATCTCATATGTCTGTTTCCTTGACGTACATACTAAAGAAATACAGGACAAAAACTAAGCTACGAAATGGCGAGATTATCGTGACCGGAGATCAGTGGCCATTGTTTCTGTACACTGACTATCATTACGACCCCGAGGATCCATGGAATGGTCTGTTACGAAGTGCCTTATTAGTTTCTGTACGATACGAAACTTCGCGATGTTTTTTTTTTCATTCTAACTAAAGTCACAGGCATATAAACACGTTTTCACGTCCCCCAGCTCCGTGGATAAAGAACCAAAGGCCACTCGTTCAGGTAATGCTCGGATTCATGGGATGACCAGAGTTACTCTACCCTCCATTGCATACATTGCAACACAGGTGTGTCTATGCTCGCATCCGTACATCTATACTGAGTATACATTTCAGGTCCGTTTTTCGCTAACCTCATCTCCCGTGTTCTCGCGTACGGACACGGTCACTGACTCGGAAAGGTTCTACAACTCCATTTTGGAGGTGTTCGAAGACCCGGATGAGAAACAAGAGGTAGATGACCTAGTTGTCTGGTGGAATAGGTGATTGAAAACTCGACATCTCTATTCTGAGGATACTCATGTTTTTAGGCAAATTTTCCCTTCGTACTCGAGCGCCCAGCGTCCTCTCGTGAAGAACAGTGCGTTGGCGAGGATTCGGGAGAAGCGAGCACGAATGAAAGAGCCGGGTTCAGTCCCTGATGGTAGTAGCGGCAGTATGTAGCAGAAATCCAGCACATAATAGTTGATTGTACCTAGCCAGAGAATCTATGTTCTGCTACAACAAACGATCGTGCATATGTGAGTAGCTTGAGACAAACACCGCAGAAATGATTGTACCCAGCATCGGACTGAAACTGTATGGATATGTTTTTACCAACAGTAGCAGTCCGTGCATCTTGGTCAATACATTATCTGCATTATACAACAGATGCAGCATACATCATTTTGAGATTCTTGTCCCAAATTTACCAGTAAGGTGATGCTAGACAACGAGTAGTGAATACTGTGCTGATCAGACACAACCTCCGTCTGTTTGATGTCATTTGTGTGAGTCACAAAGACAGTGATTCATTATATTTATATATACTAATGTTGGTGAAGCATCACAATTGCAAAGGACCGGCACACCTTTATGATACTATGTCTGTTTGATGTCGTTCCGTCTGTTTGATGTCATTTGTATGAGTCACAAAGATAGTCATTCATTATATTTATAGATACTAATGTCGGTGAAGCATCACACAGTCATTCATTATATTTATATATACTAATGTTGGTGAGGCATCACAATTGCAAAGGACCGGCACACCTTTATGATACTATGTCTGTTTGATGTCATTTGTGTGAGTCACAAAGATAGTCATTCATTATATTTATATATACTAATGTTGGTGAAGCATCACAATTGCAAAGGACCGGCACACCTTTATAATACTATGTCTGTTTGATGTCGTTTGTGTGAATCATAAAAAAAGCCGTCCATTATATATGTAGATATATGTAGATACTAGTGTTGGTGACCGCATCATAATTGCCTAATGCACATATATGGCAGTCGGTGTATCAAGCTTGACAGTGAAGTTTCATCCCTGCATATCTTGCGAGTTCTGCCATGTCCATCCTACCATGTAAAGCTTGACAATGGGACCTATCATTATTGCACTTATTGTAGCAATTTTACTTATGATAATTCTTTATATATCTATACAATTTCGTCATTGAATGTCTGATGTTGGCGAGGTTTCTTCCTTAAGTGATGCGATAGGCGGGCGCGTTTCAAGCGACGGCGTAATAACGTCCACAATGGGCGCGTTACTGTGCAATAGATGATTATAGTCATCCCTGACTACTGGCGAGGTTGATGGTGGTGGTGATGATGCGGATTGTGAAGGAGATGGTGCTGCTGAGGATGATAGTGAAGAGGCGCCTGCAGCGCGCTTTGCGAGCGCGCGTTCGAGTTCGTGATCTAAAGTAATGCAGTCTGATATAGCTTTGCATGCTGGCGCAGTTGATGCTTGAGGTGCGCGTGAATCGCGCGTAGGCGCGGGAAAGGCGCGCGCGCGAGGCACGTGAATAGGAACTGGTGGCTTTCTGTCAAGTACAACATCTGAGGGTGCGCGATAGAAGAGTCCAGCTGTTGCATTAGCGCTAATGGTCGTATCCTGCGTTGCGCGACGCGCGTGGTAGCGATCTTTGTACTTAGCTACCTTAGCTTGCACTGGTGTGCTTGGCGCTACCACAGGTGCGCTAACTGGTGCGCTTACTGGTGCGCTTGGCGCGGGAAAAGCGCGCGCAGGTAATAGGAACTGCGCAGCTGCGAAGATGTCCATGAATGGGTATGGGTCGTATGGATGGTGGTCAGGGAACTTGATCATAAGGCGCAAGCGAATTTGCGCCTGAGCATCGCTAGGGATTCCTTCCATGAATAGGTGGTCGCGTTCGGCCTTTCCAATACGGTCTTCATCCATGAGTGGCTGCATAACCTTCCTGAATGCGCGCAGGTAATTGCTGAGTTCTGTGCAAGAGGTCATTGGTTTGTTAGCGTATTCGCGCGCGATAGCGCGCAAGTCCGCGAGCGCGTAGCGTCTTTTACCATCCCATCCAGGATACATTACCTTCACTTCTGTCATGAATGCTTCATAATCACTTACTGCCGCTTCTGGCATACCTCCCCATAGTTCTCGATCGTCGCGCTCAAGGTAGCGGATAATACCTTTAATGCGGTCGTGTCCTTGGAGTCCTGCTTCATCAGCAAGCTGCTCATATGCGTCAATAAATTCGGCGAGGTTGTCTGTAGTGCCGTTGAACTTGGGCGCGTTTGCTGTGCCGCAGATGGGCAATCTATAAGGCATTGAGGCGTGCGAAGGCGCATGCGCACGCGAGGCGTATAGGTGCGCGCGTAAGGCGCAGAGGCGTGGGAACTATTGCGCGCACGCAAGGCGCGAGAATGCGTGACTAGAAAATGGTTAGCTTTTGAAATACAAAGAGATTGACCTGTATGTGTTAAGATGCGCAAAACTAGATCTTGCTGACTGCTCCCCTCGCGGTGGGCTCCAGTTGTAGAAACAACAATACAATGAGGAACAAAAGAAGCTCCTGACTGTATCTGTAAAAGTTGTAAGGTCGCGCGCTGCCTAGTCTGCGTTACTTGAGAAGCAAGTGCGTTCGACCCTATAGGGGAAGTGAGTGCAGCAAGGATCTAGAAGTGTGCGCTTAAGCGAAGCGCGAGAAAGCGCAGGAGCGCGCAAGGTACAAAGGCGCGGGAACGCGCGCGCGTATTAGCGCGAAGCGCGGGAAAGTGCGCGCGCGTATGCGGAAATGAGAAACTAAGCTTAAGTAGTGATATAAAGCAAGATAAGAGATATAAGAGTGCAAAATGTAAAGGAATAGCTTTCTACTATATTCTGCTAAGTAGTAAGTGGGTAGTAACTAGTAAGTGAAAAGTAGGAAAAGTAGGTCCAGTGTAGTATGTACTGCTGGCGCTTATATAGCGCGCCTAAGCGCGCTCATGCGGAGCCGAAGCGCTACCGAGTAGGTATGTAAAAATATATATGAGTGAGAAACTATGATAAAAATAAAGGTGGAACTATGCTAATAAAGGAAATGGAAATATACATACTAGGGAGCTTGGTGGACAGTGGATGGATGCATCTGGATGGCTGGCGCTATAGGGCGCGCAAGCGCGGGAACGCGCGCGCGCGTATACATCGTGAAGCGCGGGAATGGTGCGCGCATGGCGCGCGTTGCGTGGGAAAGCTGCGCCTCATATAGAGATAGCTGCGGGTAGCGCACAGAGTAATGCTATGAGTTCGTGCTGTATACTCCTTGGTGAAAACTACCATATCACGCCATGAGAGGCATGATTCTCTACACCGATACGTGATTAGTATTGATTGAGACCAGTTGCTGAGAAACCTACGTAATTCTAATCAACTCGGAATCGTTAGTAGCTTGTTCATATGGCGCAAACCCTGCAGCGAATATCCCCTCCATGATGCCCGTGCATCGGGAAAGTCACGAGTGGAGCTCAGCCCCATGTAGCAAAGATCGGACAGACCTTAAGAACTTTTTTTCATAGAATATTGAAGAGTCAGTATTTCAGAAGAGAGTCTAGAGAACTATGTTTCACCATGCCTCCCACTAGTGTTGATTCGGTCTCAAATCCATATGATCTTGATGATAGGGCAGAAACTCTCCTCATAGCCGCTGGACTCGTCGAGGCAGGTGAAGACGACATTGTGATATCTGCATATCCAAGCAGAGGCTATACACCTGACAGTCAACATAGCCATGATTATTACCCATGCCTCGGGGGCAACGCGCATGGTCAAGCTGCCCCTGTGTACTCTTGCGGGTGCTACTGACGTAGTACAAAAGTTGAACATACAGACGCACCCAAACAACTCCAGGAACTCGGGCCTGAACAGGTACAATTGCTGCCTTATCCTTTACACTCAGTTCTTATGATGTTCCAGGAGGTTGATAGTAGTGGCAAAATCCGGCCTTTAAAGCGTAAGAGGTCCGAGTTAAGCTTCGAGTCAGACTCTCTATGAGATTTGGTTATGGTGAGCTAGACTTGTCATTTCATCACCGTATGTATCATTAGTTAATGACTCTATAATTCAGATGCCACACCACTTTGGACGAAACCTGACCAATATCCAATGTGCTAAATCAGTGCCAGCACTTGAAGGACCGAAGCGCAGGAAGCTGGGGAAGGTCTTCGAATTAAATAGAAGTGCAACTCACGAAACTTTGATCCTGAATGTCGTGAAACGTCTCGAAGCTGCCATTGATAGGCAGACGGAGGTACTGTCAAAGATTTATGACGGTGTTCTGGAGAGCCATGCTAAGTAACTTGCTTATTCATGTATACAATACCTTCAGTTGTATTCTTGTATTCAAATTGAAAAGTCGTGAACATCTGAAGTGCGACTTGAGTCGACATGGACATGCCGACTTGGAACAATTCGGAGTCTGAGAGCCATGTCATTTACTGACGTTCAGAATGAATAGTCGTAACCTACCTTTTTGAGGAGGTCGCCGTGATGTTAGTATGTCATATCTATACAATTTCTCATGCACTGAGATTTCTTAGTGAAGCTGGGGCAGCTATCATGATGTCAGGTCCGAACCCGACTTCAACCGGATCATCCATAGTCACTAGCAGGCTGGCAGTCATCACGCCCAGCTTTCTCTACCACTACGACGCATGAGAGTTCATTTACTACTGGCCAATATACTGTTACTTCTCATCATTCTGATGGCTGAGCATTTCAAGTGCCATGAGAAGTGCGGACGGACTTTTTCAGCAGCAGGAGGTCTGACCCGCCACCGCAAAAGTTGTTCTCACTGGCAGCAGCAATTAGATTGACAATCAATACATTTCAAATGTGGCTTAGATGGCATACAAGGATCTGCGGTGAAGAAAGTAAAGCTCAGTATCACTACGACAGCGACAGTAAGTCTTTCTACTTACCCTACCTATTCTTTATTCAATTAGACTAGGATATCTCAACCTCAGGCATGCAGGTGGTGCCCGCTCCAACTCAGGCCGCAGCAGATGCATCTTCAAGTTCTAATGGCTTTTTCGGGGCCACATCTGCTTCCAGTAGCAGTTGTGATCATGCACTCCCATCGTCTGGTACAGCTCCGGTTCTTCAGCCATCAACAGAGCTTCAGGAGCCTAGCATTTTGCATGAGCAGTCTGAACCATCTATACCAATTTCTACTCCTGGTTCACATGATATCCGTCCTACTCGCTCTCACCGGTTACCTATGCAATTTAGAGACGAGCCTCCAGTGCCGCCACCTGCAATCCCACAGCCCGCTCCATCTACTCTTGTCTGAGTTATTCTCCACGTATTTGATTCTTTCCGGACATCCATAAATCAATTTGGCATTGGACGAGAGTATCGTCATCGACCAACGCACGATCCTGATGCATTTGTCTCTGTGGATCAGCTTTCCAATTTCTATCCCAGCTCACGTCCAAACGCTGAGCTATCTAGTAATCCAGAGGTGGCATCTTCCTCGAAGCCTCCCCCTTGGCCTTGGAAGAACATGAGTATCTGGCGCCTCATGACTTGGATGTTGACCGAAAGTGTCATATCCCATATATTCACGCTTCTCTTCCGGACTTCGGACCCTGAGATCCGGTCCGGTCCGATGTATAGATCCGCTTCCGATCCGATTTACGATAAGCTTTCTAATTCATTTCCTGTTTCATATAACGTTAAACACAGCCTATTCGGTATTTCCTCTTCCCGGTGTTTCGGTTATGCTTATTACCGGTATGATTACTGATCCGTTAACCTATGTCTCATTTCCGACTCGCGTTTGATAACCTTTGCACATGCTTCGTACATAGCCTCGGACCCTTGCTTACTGATACTTCCGTTATCCTCATAGTATATAAACTCGTGTATATGTCCTGTAGTACCTCAGTTCGAATATCATCTTAGTTTGTCCTCTTTCTGTCCTCCGGACTTGAGTTCTCCTTACTCTTGTCACTCTCCGAGACTTCGGATAGATTCCGATAGTCTATATCCTCGGCTCTACCTTCGGGTAGTCTTTACTCTGTTAGTTTCTAGTTCGGATACGTCCGGATTAGCCTTATACGCGTTTCCGATACCCGGAAGACTTCCGGATATACTACGAGACCCGTCCGGACCTTCGGACGCGTTATCGTTAGTACTTTGAAAATAAGGGACAGTACTTGGGAAAGGGGCACAGCGTACGAGCTGAGGCCGAAGTCCTTCGGATCCGATCTTACGAGAGTACGACCTTAACAGTATATTCGAACTCACACCTTTCCAAGTACACTTACTCATATCATGGCTCCTACTAAAGTAAACCAAGCCGCTTTGCACGCTGTCGGACTTTCGTCCACCCGACGCGATCCGACATCCGTAGTTAACGCCTTCACCAGTTTCTCTCAGCGCCGTGTATCACGCGGTCCTGCTCAAAGTATTTCGCAACTCATGAATCGTCCGCATCCGGAAACCCCTACGCGCACTCCTGCCGGAGGTGATCCGGATGACGAAGGACCTCCGGACGATGAAGATACTCCTGGTGGAAACCCTCCGGATGACTTCGGAGGTGATCCGGATGATGAACCGGATGACAACGATGATGAATTTGACGGGTTAAACCCACAAGACCGTGTCATGCTTCGGCTTTCTCAAGCCATCGACAATCTCGCACGCAACAATCGTCGTCCGACCTCGTCCGAAGATTCTAAAGTCAAGATCCGTGAGCCCGATACTTTCGATGGCACTGAGCCTCGGAAGCTTCGTGCATTCTTCGTCCAATGCGAGCTCCACTTCCAAAGCAAACCCAAAACCTTCCGTTCCGGACGGGCAAAAGTCAACTTCGCCCAATCCTACCTTAAGGGTATGGCACTCGAGTGGTTCGAACCGGATCTCCTAGCCGACGAGGACGATGATCGTCCGGATTGGATGGATGATTACTCCGCGTTCATGCTTGAACTCCAAACCAATTTCGGACCGCACGATCCGTCCGGAGATGCGGAAATGCAATTGGAGCAACTTCATATGCGTGACGGACAACGCATTAATAAATATGTTGTTGAATTTCAGCGTCTTGCTTCACAAGTCCGTGGCTGGGGTGACGGTGCCCTAAGACGCCAATTCTATAACGGACTTCCGGCTCGTATCAAAGACGAAATCAGTCGCATGGGTAAACCTTCCACCCTTTCCGAATACAAGATCCTTGCCCAGACTATCGACGCTCGATACTGGGAACGGAAGGGAGAAGTCGCCCGCGAAACTAAACCCACCACCTCCATTCCTCCTAAGCAAACCACGTCCGATCGGACGAATTCCAACTCGTCCGGACCTTCGAGGTACAAATCCGACAAACCCGCTACTTCCGCATCATCCTCCGTTTCTAAACCTCCGGACCTTACCTCCAAGTTAGGAAAGGACGGGAAGCTCACGTCCGAAGAACGTAAGAGACGGATGGATAACAAACTCTGTCTATTCTGCGGTGGACCCGGCCATTCGGCTCGGGAATGCACCAAGTCTACTTCGCGCGCTGCCAAAGGCCGCGCTGCAGTAGTAACTCCGGAAGACAAACCGGAGGCTTCGGATGAAGCAAAAAAATAGTCCGCAACCCTCCCGACTCCGCACGGGATGAGGGTTGCGTTGACTCTACCCGTGCAACGGAGCTACGTCTCAATGCTGTTTCTCTTTCCGATCCGAACTCTCTTTGTCCATACGTTTCTATTCCTACTTTTCCTGATATTTCTGATTTTCCTTCACTAATTGATTGTGGTTCCTCTCACTGTTTTATAGACTCTGATTTCGTCCGAAAAAATAAAATTCCTACATATCCGATATCTCCGCTTTCTCTCCGTTTGTTTGATGGTACTTGTAATAATATGATTTCCGAAGCTATAGATTTGCCTATCTGTTTTCCGTCCGGTGTAGTTACCTCCGATACGTTTTACGTTACTCCGTTGGATTCTTCTTGTTTTATCGTTCTTGGATATAGCTGGCTCACCCTACACAATCCGTTGATTGACTGGGTTTCGGGCAGCATCGATTTCCGAACGACTTCTCATGGAATGCCTTCGACACCTCCGACGTCGCTTCCGTCTCCGGATCCGCATCCTCCGATGGAAGATTTACCTCCTCCGACTACATCCGGAACCTCCGCTGATAAAACCATCCCCAACATTTCCTTGATCAATGCGGTTGCCTTTTGCCGGGCCTGCAAATTGGAAGGATCGGAACAGTTCAGCATCTACCTTCGTCCGACCGGTGTAGACCTCCGGTCCGCTTCCCTTTCATCCGATCCTCCGGACCTGTCCGGAATTCCTCCGGAATATCACGAATTCTCGGATGTGTTCGATAAGGGCAAAGCTAGCCAACTTCCTCCTCATCGTCCCTATGATCTCAAAATCGAGTTAGAGGAAGGAACTAGTCCGCCCCTCGGAACCATTTATTCTCTATCTGCAGTTGAGCTTGCAGCCCTCCGGAAGTTTCTTGATGAAAATATTTCCTCCGGACTCCTCCGTTCCTCATCCTCTTCTCACGGAGCTCCTGTCCTGTTTGTCAAGAAAAAGGATGGCTCCCTTCGCCTCTGTGTAGATTTCCGTGGACTTAACCAGATTACCAAGAAAGACCGATATCCGTTACCTCTCATTACCGACCTCCTAGACTCTCCGAGCCGCGCTAAAGTCTATACCAAAATCGACCTCCGATCCGCTTATCATCTCGTCCGGATAGCGGACGGAGACGAATGGAAGACCGCGTTCCGAACGCGTTATGGCTCATATGAATGGTTGGTAATGCCGGAAGGTCTCACTAACGCTCCGGCTGCATTCCAACGCTTTGTCAATAGCGTGTTTGCTGATATGCTGGATGTATGCGTTATCGTATATCTGGACGACATCCTCATCTATTCCCAAGACCTTGCATCCCATAAGGAACATGTCCGAGAAGTCCTTCTCCGTCTCCGAAAACATCGACTCTATGCTAAACCCGAAAAATGCGCGTTCCATACCACATCCGTTGAATACCTTGGTTACATCCTATCTCCGGACGGCTTGACCATGTCGTCCGAGAAGATCCAGTCCATCGTTGACTGGCCGGAACCTCGGAAAGTTAAGGATATTCAATCCTTCCTCGGATTCGCAAATTTCTATCGTCGATTCATTTTCAATTACTCGGACATCGTAGTTCCGCTCACCCGTCTTACCCGCAAGGGGGTTACTTGGGATTTTTCCGATGATTGTCGGAAGTCTTTTGAAACACTCAAGAAAGCTTTCACGTCCGCTCCGGTGCTTACGCACTGGATTCCGAATGTTCCGATAGTCGTAGAAACCGACGCCTCTGACTACGCTATAGCCGGAATACTTTCCATAGTATGTCCGGACTCAGAGCTTCGTCCGGTGGCATTTTATTCTCGGACGCTTACCGCTCCGGAACTCAACTACGACACTCATGATAAGGAACTTCTAGCCATCCATGAAGCTTTTCGGACGTGGCGACATTACCTTGAAGGCTCTGCCGAGCCAATAGACGTTGTCACGGACCATAAGAACCTTGAGTATTTCTCTACCACAAAACTCCTCTCTCGCCGTCAGGCCCGCTGGTCGGAATTCCTCCATCAGTTTAACCTAGTCATCCGTTTCCGTCCCGGAAAACTCGGAGCTAAACCGGATTCCCTTACTAGACGCTGGGACGTCTATCCCAAAGAGGGGGATAAGGACTACGCTCGAGTTAACCCTCACAATTTCCGTCCGGTATTCACTTCGGAACAGTTAGCTTCGTCCCTCCGAGCCTCAACTCTAGTAACTCCGGTTCTTAGGGCAGCCGTTCTGATTGATATCGACCAGCTCCGGAAAGACATCCTGACCGCACTTCCTAATGACCCTATCGCATCCGAACATCTTCCGGAACCTTCGGATCCGAGATGGACGGTGGACGATAGTGGTTTCCTCCGCTGCGACAACCGTATATATGTTCCGGAATCTAATAATCTCCGTCTTCGCGTCCTCCAGAATACTCATGATCATCCGTTGTCCGGACACTTCGGACAGAACCGGACGCTAGATATCATCCGACGCGAGTACACTTGGCCAGGAATCCGTACCTATGTCAAAGACTACGTCAAGTCTTGTACTTCCTGCGGCCGAGCTAAGGTTCCGAGACACAAACCTTACGGATTGCTCAAGCAGTTACCCATACCGGAAAAGCCTTGGAATTCTATATCCATGGATTTCATCGAGCACCTTCCGGACTCATCCGGCTTTACAGCCATCCTCGTCGTAATCGACCGTCTATCCAAACAAGCTATATTCATCCCTACCCACGACACCA